GAGAGATCACTCGAAGATCCAGTGGCTAATGTCATGTCCTGTGAAACCGCGGACTATGACGGCGCCATAGGCACCTACGAAGTTGCTTGCTAGTTTGTAGTTTATGTCACTTCTGTCTTCAAGAATTTGTCCAGCACTTTGTAATATAACGATCCCCAGATCTTGTGGGGGCATTTCTTTTTTTTGAGACGGTAAAGGGGTTGTTTTTTTACTCATAGCAACATGAATTCAGTGTAGCGCTTTACCAACCAATATGTATGGTGACTAGCTAGCGTTGAAATTTATGTCAAGATTTCACCCAGACTTGGTTTGGTGATGCATATCTCACTTATCTCTGTTTCCACCAACCCGGACACCATTGGTTAATGCTAACTGAACGGCACCGCCGACGTTCATCCGCATTTAGCGCACTGGACCTCCTGATTGCCGTGTTATTTCGTGGTTTCGCTCAGTAGTGCCGTTATTTCTATCCCCATAGACCCCTGCACAGCAAATACGCGACATCTTACAATGCACGATATCGTCAGTCGATTGAATGAACGGTTTTTTTAATTAAAGTTTTATAGATTATCTCATCGAACATCATGAAGTCCTTAGGAATTCAATGAGACAACATTTTGTTTCACTTAATCTGTTACCTGCTGAACAACCTCCTCGTGGTGCCAACTGGGTGGTCCGGGATTATCTCGGTGCAGCGAATGGTTCGGCGACAGCGTTTCAGGACGTGGTGGCTTTTCGCCTGGCAAGCGTTCTCCCTATAAAAAGCCACGTGTCTGTTTAACAACACTGCGAAGTGGTGATGTGACTCGCCACTAAATAAAGTCACTGCCCCTTGTTTCACTGGTGAAGCATTGCATCCCAGCACCTTGCTACTGAAATCGTGGGGAAGATTGGGCCCCTGTTTGACTACTCACCAAACGAAAGGAGTATGAACTGAGCAATCAGTCATCGGCTTCCAATGGGTGCGAATCCCTGACTTCGCTCCGCTGAGTTGCAGGTGGGCTATTGAGCCAAAGGCTCGGGATGGATCCCCTAAGACAACTCCCTACTTCGGCTTGGGCAACCGGGTAGTATCGTGCCCTCTGTGAAAACCATGGATTTCGCACTTACTACTGCGTCGCTTACTTTTGCTACTACTTTCGCTGCTACTCGTGCTTCTCCATCACACCCCAACTTTTCTCTTGTTGTTAATCTACAACCTGTTGAATCCACTTCCAGGGCCCGTCTCGCTGGTATCCAAATCATTCGGCTATCAGCTATCCTTCGACCCCGTAATTCATTCCGTCTGGTAACCTTCGATGTTCGGACGCTCCTACAGATTGGACAACAGGCTGGTCTGGCACGCACTCTAGAGTCCCTCGCTATCGATGTTTGTTGCCTTTCAGACTCGACTACAAGATCCCAACACCGTGATTAAATTGTCGTCCCCAGCTGCTCTTGAGACCACATATTACCTACGTCTGTCTAGTGACATGGAGGCAGCAACAGCCGGTTTAGCTAGTGTCGGTATCGCATTGAGTGACAACGTGGAGGCTACATTACTCGACTGGTTTCCAATGGACAGCCGGCTGTGTGCGGTACAGCTTCAAGGCTCATGTCGAATCAACAGACAGTGTGAAGGGAGGCGCAATTTCATTTTCGTTTCTGCCTACGCTCCAACCGACTGCGGCTGTGCATCGGTTAAGGTTGACTTTTATCGTGGTCTCCACAACCTTTTGAACAAGGTCGAAAAGTCATATATCATCGTCCTTGCCGGAGATCTCAATGTACGATTAGGTCGCCTGCTTCCGTGCGAACGTCATCTTGGTGGCAGTCACGCGCTTGATGAAAGCCGTTCTGACAACTGTGCTAGACTTCTTACGTTATGCGAAGACCACCGTCTATTTCTCGCAAGTACGAACTTTAGGCATACCAGAAGACGCGCAGCCATCTGGCGTCCTTCACCAACGCAAGCGTGGTCACAAATAGATCACATTGCAATCAGCTTTAGATGGCGAGGCAGCGTCCGGGGTTATAGGTCGACTTGGTCTACGTACCTCGATACAGATCATGCTTTGGTCTGCGTGGACATCTGCATGCGCTTCGGCGGCTCCTCAAAGCGGAAGCTCCATACGCTCGACACCAACAAGTTAGCTGACCTCTCTACTCGATCAACTTATCAAGCTTCCTTGTCGATTGCATTCATTGGGGCTCCACCTCAACACACAGAAAATCATTGGAGTTTCCTGCATGAAGCGATGCTAACTTTTAGTCATTCAATCTGCGGAGTCACAAGGCGCTGGATTTCCGCACACTCACTGGAATTGTCTGATCGTCGTAGGGCCATCCCGCCCGATCCAAATAGCGGTGCATTGCGTCGCATTCTCAGCCATCAACTTAAGTAAAGCCTCCTTGCGGATTGCGAAACTTGGTGGTCGCGGCGCGCCTCAGAGATGGAAACGGCACCCTTCTCTTGAAACTTCCGCAAATTCTCCCAGGTCATTCGGGCTACTGGTCACAAAAGATCTGGTATCAGTGAAGTCATTTGCTAGGTTGACAGAACGCCGGTAAGCAACTTACACAGGCGTATGGACCGCTGTGCTGAACATTTCGCACTCAATTCAGCTGGACTTCTCCGCCGGCGAGTCCATTGAGTATACCTATTTGCGCGCCTTGGAACGTCTCATTGGAACCGCCCACTGAAGCTGAGGTCTTTCTTGAGCTCCGACACTTGAAGCGATTCAAGTCCGCTGGTCCAGACGGACTTCTTCCGGAGCTGTTCAAGTTCGGAGGCGAAGCACTTATCAACCAGTTAACAGCTTTGTTGTCTAGGATCTGGTGTGAAGTAACAGTTCCATCCGCTTGGAGCGAGTCAATTATCGTCCCGATCTTCAAGAAAGGTACCCGTACACTATACGCTAACCACCGAGAAATCAGTGTAATGTCCGTGGCCACGAAGCTGTTAACATCCATTCTACTCCGCAGACTAACCCCGATTCGAGAATTGCACTCCCGTGAAGAACAGACTGGTTTTCGCCCCGGTCGAGGATGTATAGACTACTTGTTTACGTTCCGCCAACTCCTTGAATCGCGTCATCTGTTCTGCTTGTTTTTCTAGACATCCGAGCCGCTTTCGACTCCGTCGATCAGCCAGCTTTATGGCGTTGCTTACAAAAGAATGGAGTACCCGAAAAGTATATCGCCATCCTTCGAGCGTTATATAACAGTTCCTCAGGTAAAGTGTAGGCCTATGGCAAGCTCTCTTCACCTTTTGCCGTCACCAGCGGTGTACGACAGGGTTGCCCCATGTCCCCGTTTCTCTTCAATTTTGCGATCGATGATGTCCTTTTAAACGCTCTTGAGGGCTTTCAGGGTTTTGGTGTAGAGCTTCCTGGCGATCATGTGACCGTTTTCGATTGCGCGATGATATTGCCTTGCTTGGTGATAACGCACAGAGCACACAAGATGTTCTAAACCGTTTGGCGATTGAAGCATCAAAATATGGAATGACCTTTGCCCCTACGAAATGCAAAGTCCTGGTCCTGGATTGGCATCCACCTGCTCCAGTGCTCACTCTTCAGGGTACGCAGCTTGAACAAGTGAACAATTTTGTTTACCTGGGAAGCTGTGTCTCTGCTGATGGTAGCATTGGAAAAGAGATTTCCCTGCTCATTGCCAAAGCCCGTTCGGCATTCACCAACTTGAGGCATCTGTGGCGACGTCGTGACGTTTCACTATTGGTAAATGGCTGAGTCTACAATGACTATGTTCGTGCGGTGCTGCAGTATGGGAGTGAGTCCTGGCCGATTCGTATGAATGACTTGCGTCGGATTTCGGCTTTTGACAATGGATGTCTGCGGAGAATAGCTCGAGTGTGGTGGATGTACCACATACGTAGCAGTAGACTTCGACTTGACAGACTGGTGGTACCACTGCGCCAACTGAGATAGCTGGGCCACATTTTACGCATGCCATGCGAACAGCTGTGCCGACGCGCTCTCTTCGCTCGCATCGGAGCAGACCGAACGAAAACGCGCGGGGGTCAGCCTATCACTTGGCGACAAACGATTATAGTGCTCATTTCCAGTGTGGCTGTCGTATGTTCTGTGCGTCTTCCGGGCTGGGGGATCAAAGATGAAGAACACCGCTGGCTGGAAACTCTTTCAGAGATGGCACAGAACCGGGCTCAATGGAAAATGTCTACAACTGTTTGTCTTGATTTGTTTGATTTACATCGCAAACATTAATCAGACAAACACATAGATAAAATGGCGTGGGAAAAAAGGAACCAACAAAAGAAAAGGCAAGATACAGAAACTTTTTTGCAACTTTTATTTTTTCGTTGTGGTCTCTGTATTTATTACTTCCGTTTCATTGTTTTCGCTGGCTCTATGTCTATGTTATAGACTGCTAATATATATATATATATATATATATATACCTTTTCTGATTAGTTTTGTAGGTTTGTATACTGACCTGGATGCAAATTTCTTCGCAGCTTAATCTTCCACCACAATTTCACTGATTTAAATCGTCGGGACTTGATTTCCCACTGTTAACTTGATCAGGTGATTAGGCTACATCCTAACCATCCGGCTAGTTGGTCTATGCACTTTGATGTGTCGCTTGTAGTGCCTGCGGCAGATGATAGATAAATGATCTAATCTGCAAACTTTGCTTATGGGAACTGAGTCGCGTTATACCACGATGTGTCGTCCCTTAGCGTTAAGTATCACAGGCCTGCCTTGTAATCAGAAGACGCGGGTTCGAACCTGCATAGGGACCGGACGACTGGCAGTATCCTTAGCCCATGTGCGACCAGTGCTGGTTGTGCGGCAGCGAAGCGTCGGTAATGTGTACCTGCGTGCTACCGTTGTTTTCTACACCATGATGTGGGCGGCGCTTTTTTGCCCCTATATGCAACAATCATTTACTAGCTATTGCCCTTGTTGCTCTTACCATTCTCTCCCAGTGCATCTGTGGTAATCCTCATCCTTCCTCCCGTTTCCTTGATATTACAGAATATCCTACGCTCCTCGCCCTTTGTTACTCTACCCGATGTTGGATTTGCCACCGTTGGCTCTAAACTCAGTCTGCCACGCAGACCACATTGATATATCGAAACAATTACCGCCCTCTATTCACTCAACCTCCAGCGTATTTGTACATATTTTGGTCTTTTATACTATTTTGCTGACTACGGTCTACCTTTTGTATCGTTGCCTTGTTCCCAGTGCAAGGAATCCTGTGTACATTATTTGCTCAGTATGGCGCTCCTTATGTGTGTTCACAATCACATCAGTTCGCCGACGATGGAATGATCGTCGACGTGCTTTACCACATCGTGTCCCTTCACGCGGTCTTTCATTTTGATATTGACCTCTTACTTTTCCTTTACGTTCTGTGATTTTCCCTTCCATCTTCTATTCACCGCAGTGCGACTACCTCTATCTTCAGATTCTGATAACAGGACGTTTTTACACGGAACCTTTTGTCTGTTCCTATTGTCGAAGTAGTCTTCCTAAACTCACTGATGATGAATACATTGCCAGTCAATACTGTACATCACTATTTACTGAAACGCAATTTGAAAGTTTGATTCTTTTCGGTCATCTGCCTGAGTTCAATGACTGGCGCTCATATCTTGATTGGAACAAAGTTGCCGTGTGTTCACAGCACCCCCAACCCCATTTCATACCTTCTTACAGGCACTTTCATCCATAGCGCTTATAAGTTAGCGTGTTAAAATATCGAAATCATGTGTTGCTCATTAGACTTCACATGTGCAAGTAAACAGTCTCTCCCTGTGTTGCTACACGCACTCACTGTCAGTGACACTCTCATTGGTCATGGGACATTAGCCAATGGGACACTGGGTGTGAGCACAGGGCTAGATGTATGGTGGACGGAGTGCATTCAGGCATGCTCCCGAGCAGGTTGACACATTGGTGTCAACGGAAGACAGAAAGGGATGAGAGTGTCAGTGCTAGAGGTCATCAACAGCGTGCCTTTTTGAAGCTGGTCAATCTAGGATGAGGTGTGTGAGCGTTCTCCTTTTGCACCCCTTTAACAGATATTCTGGCGGAAAGAGTTACCATTGGTTCGTATTCTGACACTGCCGGTATTCGGTGTTCCTGTGCCGAATTTCTAGCGTTTGTCCGAGCAGTCCGTAACATATCGGTCGCACAATATGATCGGTCCATGGGTTACATACCAGCGGCACATTTAGACTGCAGGCTAGTATCGTCTGATGGGTGTACTACCACCACTTCACGTAATGCAATGAACCCTCAGTGTCTACAACCTACTCAAACGACAAATTTGCCTCTAACCATCACATAAGACAAACTGGTGCAAATATCTTGCCAGGAATGTAAACATATATAAGAAGATAACTTGATATCGCTCTTGCAAGAGCATGTGGTTGCCAAATATTATCGCAGCTTTTCACTTGATGAGAAATATGCCCATTATTACTATTATTATCATGCGGGATATTGTTTCGATCAGTGGCAGTACTAACATGGAGACTAAATGTGCCACTGGTACTGTGCCCCTTGGACCGATCACATATTGTGTGCCCGATATCTTACGGAGAAGCGTTTGAAATTTAGCTCAGGAACACCGGCTGCCGGCCGTGTCAGAATACGAACCAATGGTAACTCTTTCCGCCAGCACATCTTAAAAAGAGAACGCTCAAACACCTCATCCTAGGTTGACCAGCTTCAGTCAGGCGCGCTGTTGGTGACCTCTAGCACTGACACTCTCATCCCTGTCTGCCTTCCGTTAACACCAATGTGTCAACCTGCTCGGGAGCATGCCTGAATGCACTCCGTCCACCATACATCTAACCCTGTGCTTACACCCAGAGTGTCCCATGACCAATGAGAGTGTCACTGACAGTGAGTGCGTGTAGCAACACAAGGAGAGACTGTTTACTTGCACATGTGAAGTCTAATGAGCAACACGTGATTTTGCTTTTTTAACGCGCCAACTTATTAACGCTATGCGTGAAATTGTCTGTATAAAGCTTTGGTCAGATCATTCGCATCTGTTTGCGTCCGCCTCACTGATTGGCTTTCCACATGCCGGCTCTGTCCGTTTCGCTGGCTTGGCCTATCAGCTGTTATCACGCAGTGCACCATCTGCTCCGAATCAAAGTCACATGCGTACAACATGCTTGCCTTTGTACTGGACCAAGAGCGTGCCCGACTCATAACGCTGCATCTCAATTCCCCCTTGTCCACTCGGTCCGCGTAAACTTCCTCAATTTGTGCTCGTGGTGCGCATTGCCTTTCCCATCCACTGGACGCGCGTCGTTTTCTTTCGCTTGACTTGCCAACTGCCATCGCATCTGCTTGTTGCGCTAAACTTTAGCACTGTCCGTTAGTTCGGACTATTCATTCAGTTATATTGAGCCGTTCCTCCTCACCACCTTTAGAGCCATAAATGAGTACCTCATTGAGGTTAATTCTAACCGATCGTTCAAGCCAGAGCAATACATGACCATTCTCTTCCTTCCGATATCACTTTGCGTGTTATTTGTCCAATTCGATCGAACTGGGATGAGGGTGCTACGATTTGTCTTTGGCTATGGGAAGACATATCTTTTGCTCATTGACTTGTTACTGTCTATTTTAAAGATTGAAGTTTGATTGATTTAGGCTACGCTCTCTCCAAACCATCCTCATCATTGAGATGTCGGTTGTGTGTGCGTCACTAGGTGCAGTCGACTTCACGCTATTCCTTACAGTCAGATTTATCTCCTTGGCCCACACCCTCACCGGTAATCCCACTGCGTCAGGGGCTCCAAGTGATGTACTACGAGCCGCTCTATTTCTTCGCTCTTCCACGAAGCAGACTTATTAGTCAAAATCTTCCTGTGTTAGAAATTCGGAAAATGTCATCTGCCCACAGATCTCGCATACTAATCTCATCGCAATTCACTCATTAAGTTCGTTGTTATGCTCCTGTTTTTCACTACCGTATTTTCGTTGAAACATTAGTTCACTTCAGCACGTGGTACAGGGCCCATTCTTAGTCTTCTTTAGTGACTTCTATGAGATCAATCCAAATTTGAAATGCCGTCTACACGCCCAGGAGAGGTGCATATGTCGGACGTGTCGCACAGACCTTCATCTCTGATGACGGAATGGTTGTTGTGGGCGATTACTAATTAAGGGACGGTTGAAAACGGGCGTGAAGATCAATTGTGCCAGTTAGCTTTCAATTGACGTTACAGTACTTTGAATGGGATTGCGTTTGATAATCCATGATTATCATACTGTAAGCACTGCATTGTGATCGTTGAAGGAGCTTCATCTTCTTGTTCCACTGACGCGACGAATTTCGTATATAAGCCTATCGGATCTTCTGAACTGCAGTGTCCATACATACTTGGAGGCTGTAGCTGCATTACTCGTAATTACTTTGTTCTATTATTATGTAGACTACTGAGATGTTAAACTTACCGGATATTCAAATGGACGAATTCGTTCTGTGATTTTCACTAGCGTTATGCTGATTGCATCATTCCTCACTGGTTGCTATGTCCCCATGTTGACTATCTTATTTCCGTCATCAATCCTCTCTTTTGGATGTTCATTTGGTACTGACTATTGAGCTCAGTCTATTTGAAGCTGTACAAAAGCATACTGTTCCAAGTCAAAGTTGTTCACTTTGGTCTACACTAGCGATTCAGTTCAGTACTTCACCTATGATCCGTGCACCGTCGTTCACTGGATCCAGTTGCTTTGACACACGTCGGCAAGAGCATACTGATAGTAGTAAAACTATTAAGAACGATAGTAAAAATAATGCAAGTAAACACATCGGTGTCACCGACTTCGCGATCGTGCCATATGTGATAGCTTATCCAGCAAATGAAGTGGCCACTCCCGAGGTCTCCATGTTACGCGGAACCAACGTCCCCACGAGATCACTAGCTGAAACCATGGAAGTCAGTGAGATACGCATTCGGACAAGTGCACGTGTTTCGACCAGTGTTCCAACTCGTGAGACATTCACATGTCGATCAAGCTTTGTACCTCAGAAACATACATGTTTCTAGCCAACCTCCGCAACCTTAAAGCATACTGCCTTTTTATACCTAAGAAACGCATTTTTCCATTACAGTCTCCGCATCTATCAACATTCACTTTTCAACATGTTCCTTATCGTATTCACATAATGCCAATTCACTTGCTTATGCTTTGCTTTCAGGTTTAGCTTACGCAAAACATTCTACGTGAAACATACACGCGCCATCTAAGCAAACCTGCACTGCGCTGCAATCGCCTTCGCCTGGATAGTAGAAGTGCCTGGGGCGAATCGCTTGCTTTTATTCTTACTCTTTTTTCCATCGGGTAGTCGCGTGTTAAGTCTGCGTTCAATTAGGAACCCGTTCAATGTGTGTGTAGAACCGTGTAGCGTCTGTCTTCCGGTGTGCCAATTCGAATTCTATGGGCTATCTTATCTGTGCGGCGTGCCGTTCTGTCCCGGGTCTGTTCATTCAACTAGGAGTCGTACCAGTCCGTCTTACAGGTGGCGCATCTAAAAGGCAGGCATAACAGTCCACCCGTGAATACTTCGGGCATCCATTCGATTAGACTTTGCGATGAATTTCTTTGGACTCATCTGCCATACCATCGACTGATCGTTCCCGGACTTCATCCAGATTGTAAGGCAACACACACCGGCTTGCGAGCACATAACTGAGCTACCGAAAGGTACACGAGTTCAACAGACACTCCAGTGAGGCATTTTGGGCCTACTAACAAACAATGTAGCCTTGCTCATCCAATTCTCCCCACGAACATGAGTTGTACTGTGCAGGCATGAACCATCAGAATCGTCAGACTCAATGTTCTCAGTGCGTAGCACCGCAACACTCGTCGAACCGCAACGCTGTAAGTTTTTCTTTCTACCCCAAAGTTTATTTTCGCCGTCTTCTCGAGTAACTAAGTCTTTGAAAGACCACGTAAACCTTAGTAATACGATCAGTGATCTCTTTGATGGTGTAACTATCACAGGTTATACAGCTACCAACTATTTCGGGCGGCCCATCCGTATTTGTGAATACTGGAGGCCTATTGAAGTACTGAGGGTGCAAAGCACATAATTATGAAAGCAGCCCAATGAGTAACATTTGCATGACAGCTGGGTACGAGTTGAAGGTAACCACGTATTTTGCACACTCTGAGTTTGACATTTTGGTCATCTAGTAGATCATGAGCCACTGAGGGTGTGGAACCATGCAACCTGGTATCGTTCATGCTTCTTTTGATCATATAGTTGGAGAGGGACCGAAAGATAAATAATCTTCTCGTGTTTAGCTTGCTAGCTTGAATTCAGGAAAGCATTTTCTGTAGCCACGGAAATCGCGGTTTCAGAATAGACATTTTTTCAAGCATGCCCCTCAAGTAGGGCCACAAAATAAGCAGACGTCTTCGACGAAATGAACTCGGCCTTCAAGGCAAAGGATACCACCATGATAGACCGTTTTTGGGTATTTTACAGTTCGAGTGGTTGTAGAAGTGTAACATTTTGTTAGGCTGAAGCCAGCCTGGCTTTCACTTATTGTGTTGCTGCAACGCGATGCACGTGACACACTGGATGCTGTTCAAATAAAAGTTATAATGGAGTTTTGGCAGAGGCTGACCTCAAAGTCAACTGAAGCCACGATTGAGATTGCGTGTCGCAATCGAAGGCACCCGGCGGGTGTTCCGAAAACCCGAAAATCAAATTGATAATAATTTTCATGGCAAGTTCTTTGTCCCTTCCCTAAGTGAGAATGCCAGTTTTAAACTGCCAGGCAGATGGTACCTACCGACCGAGACCGAACAGTGCGGCTAAAGTATTGAATGGCGAGCCCTTGTCGTTCTTCGGCGGTGACGGTACAAGGTCGCTTGAGTTACCTTATTTCTCTTCAGCAGTAACAATTCATGTCGGATCCCATCAATGGTGAAACTACTTCCGTCAACATCCCAGATGGGCTCAGGCAATCCATCTAATATTTCTGAAAAATCAAGTTTGCTGCATTGCTTTTCAAATTGAACAGCCTAGCGCTCAAACAAACGTGACTGAGAGAATCATTTTCCAATCCGTTTCAGCTATCGTTTTACTTACTGCAACCGCACCTGGACTGGTGCATTGTATGAGCTGTAACAAATTCCGGTGTTCCTGTTAGCGTTGGAGTTCGCCACCTATCGAGGACTCGCTATGCACCACCACAGTGGGATGGTTTTTAGGCTCCTCGTCCGACAGCAAGTCAGAGCGTTTTGGTACTGATGTCTCAATGAAACCGTTGTTCATTCTTCCGTCGGAAAATTCGGTGCTTCAGAAATCAATCCACTAACCCAATGGCTTCGGTTGAGCGAACAGCTGTTCTCGAATTTATGTGCATTACGCATTGAAGACGCTTCCAGTCAGTATTCCGTCTGTTACTAGCTGATATTGAAATTCGGACTGATATTGCTGTTTCTCAGATTGTGAACACGACTGACCAGGAAGTAGCTTCGTAACTAAACGCGTAGTTGAAAGTGGATGAGCAAGTACCTGCAAACACAAGAGGATGGTCAGAATCGAAACAAGTGCTTTAAATCGAGGGACACGTTTGTATTGGTGCGCGGCATCCTTACTTTATGGAGATGTGGTCATTTTGTATGCAGGGCGTTGTGGTATTCGGTGTGTGCTAGATTTAATTTAAACGTAAGTGCCGGAAAAGTCACGCGCCATTGTATGTTCAATATGCCTTGACGTCGAAACAATCTCCAAAATGAATCTGAGACGTGGTCCTCTTAAAAATTCATGCCACCAGTAGCAACCATGACATTGATTTTCCTCATCTTAAAGATAAGAGATGAGGTGTCGATCGAATTCGTCTTTAGTAGCCTTCTAGCTGTAGTCGGTGGTAGCCTAAACCAGGAAGATGGAAAGGCATCTTATCTTCAAACAGTGTCCATTAGCATCAGCAAGGTCTCGAAATTGAATCAGGCACGGGTGTATCCCTATCTTTTGCAAATATGCTGAAAGCAATTCTAGCACCACGAATACATTGAGTCATTTAATCAGTATCGCCAGAGATGCGAAAAGTGAAGTCAAAATTCACAGATTCGCAAGCAAAATTGCGATGATTTCTCGCCATGCTAAAATCTTCTATGTGTGTATGGTAGATAGCACATACCGATTCCAAGAGAGCAGTGAGTGATTCTGTTGCTCGTGGATCAATTTAACCCTTCACTGCCGATGTTGAACGGTTCATGGTTTGAGAAGCTAGCTATGCGCTTTCGATAGCACAATCTTCGAAATTAGTGACATTCGCTAGTACAATATTCACGGAAGAAGATGATTGCCGTGAGTGGAAATAGCAGTTACATTAGGTAGTATTGGCTGCGGGCTGCAGAGGACAGATGACAATCTTCGGCTGCCCGTCCCGGTAAAGTATTTTATTCCATGCGTCCTACCCTGCCGCCTTTCCATTCCTTGTTGCTACCGTACGCAAACATGCAGTAGTTTTATACTACTGATTTTTAGAAGGTAGTGAAATATTGTGGCTTTTTGCTTTAACCGGTTGTCGAGTTTACTGTTGAGCATCAGTTTACCACCATGGAGCTGCTATTCCATAATTCACGGATTGATTAACACCGGTGAACCGGCCCAGGAACGACATGAACTGCGTTCTTTAACGACAACAACGAGATGTGCGCTTCTCGGGAGCGGCTTAACGCCGTCTTGGAGATTACAACTTCTAATCGCATCTCTGACATATAAGCTTGTCATGCAGATCGATGGCTCTGGATGGGTTTGAAGTTCGTGGCATGGTGAATTGAGGAAGGGTTGGTTGGTGGCGTTTTATTTATTCCTCATTCATAGGTTGTTTCATGCGCGCTCGGCACTTCCCTCAATCGTTCATTCGCGATCGCTATCTGCGCAAACCAGCCAAAATAGGTCGCAGGATAGCACAACTATCTATGCGTTGAGGAAGTCAGCTGGAAACTCTCATGAGGAAAAGTGGTTGTAAATTCACCGATATCCCATCGCGTTCCTTTCCCTTGCCTTAAGGGAACGCTTATCTTAAGTACCCTTATAAATGGGATCTGTTAGATTTACACTTGCTATGTGGGCACAACAAAGATGCCCCTAGCCGAGAGATAAGTACAACGTAACCTCTTTTTCAGCCTTGGACGAGTGAATGACAACCGCTGATAGGTGTACCTTTACATGTTATTTTCTATTGCTTTCTAGAGTTGCGTTTCACAACCGATTTCCTTCACGTTTTTGATCAACATGTTGAGCTTACTCCAAACCGGAATCCGAATAATGCCGCAAGACATTCTCAGAAGAATCTTATTGGCCAAACTAAAGAATTTCTTCGAAATAGATTGCGGTTCAATCTGAAATTGCTTGAAGCAGTCCATTTGTGAAACGTGTGTTCCAAAATGCCAAAAAACGAATAAACTGTAAATTTTAACGTCTGATGGAGTTGATACTATTGAGCATCTC